AGCTGCTGTCACTGTTGTTGCCTGTCCCGAGATCCGCCGTGCCTGGTGCAGCCGGGACCGGCATGGCTGCTCTGTGACAGGAGATCAAAGGGAGATCAGTACACTATCTCCCTCTAATCTCCTCTCCAGTACCCGAATGCAGGAAGTGATGTATATTACATCACTTCCGCATTCAGCTGTCACTCTCCAGCTTCAGAAGCTGGGGAGAAGCTGGTGAAGCAGATCTCTGCTTCATCAGCTTCTCCGGGGGTCCCTAGGTGACATTAGGGATCTTGGAGACCCCTGATGTCTCCATAAAGAGGATCTGTCATGTAAATTGGCTATCACATAGGGGGCTTCTTATCCCCCTATGTGATAGCAATTAAGTTAAGTGTAAACAAAATAAAAAAAGAATGATAACAAAATGAAAGCATACATTTTTTTAAAAAAAACACAAATTTTTTTAAAGTCCCCCGCCCCCACATACACACCAAACATGTGTCGGGTGCGCCTACATGTGAAAACGACTATTGTGCCGCACATGTTACATATTGCAGCGAACGTCGGAGTCATAGACCAGCACCAGCGCTGGAGGGATTGCTAAATACAAGTGGAAGGAAGAAGATGATTGGATCAAGAGGCATCATTAAGGTAAGTCCTTACAGCAGCATGATGGGGGGAGGAAAACATTTGTGACTTTAATTTCTATAGTTGGGAAAATATTAGAGAGTGTGACAGAGGACCACATACATGAGTTTTTGATAGAAAACAACAATATAGGTGTAGCGCTCCCCCTTCCTGGTCAATGCTATGCCAGCACAGGATAATACTACCGGTGGCTCTTAAGGGGTGATCTACAGTAAACTTAACCAACGGGTCTCCCTGTCTTCCATAAGAAACCTCTGTTATAGATACACAGCACACCAGCACACCTTGAGTACTAGGGTCTTTTGCTGTGGGTTACAACAACTCCGATTCTTCTTGTGTAGGGATACATTTGCTCGCTTTTGCCCATCAGCACTTACCGCCCTTCTGGTGAATGATTGAAGTGAGGTCTAGACTATAGTTGTGATGCTTGAAACTTTTATTTGCAGAAGTTCAGGGAGAGAGGTAGAGGAGGGTTAGGATCATCCAGGCAGATGTAGACTCCATGGCTTTTCAGAGAGAGTGTAGTTACAGATTCCATGCACAGCAGGTCGAACACCTGACACTGCATTACTTGAGGTAGAAGTTACTGATCCTTGTCTTTAGCAGTAGCAACCACTGGACCTGCTGCTGCCACCAGGCTCCAGGCCTGGTCCGCATAGGCAGTCCAGCGCAGCCTCCCCGCAAGCGGGGCCTGGAGGAGGAAGAGAGAGCTCACATGGCCCACACTGAGTATTTATCTCCTCCCCCAGCATGCACCACTGGTTATTGCTCAACAGTGATTGGCTGGGGAGGGATAGCTACTCCTTGCAATCCCACTGGCTGCTCTGTTCTATCACCAGGGCACACCCTGCAGTACCTCTGGCAGTAGACAGATGCCAAACAATGATAGGTTGTTTAGGGGGAAACCACATGAACCAAACTACAAACTAATATCAGACAACATACAATCTGATAAACAGATTTAATAGCACTCTTTCCACTAGGGTACTACATAGGGATAGTCAGCATGGATTGCTAAAAGACCAAATTTGTTAAACAGATCTCCTTTTTTATGAGGAAGTAAGCAATAACCTAGACAAAGGAGTAGCTGTGGCACGATTCCCCACAAATGGCTGGTATAAGTTAAGATCTATAGGTTTAAGAAATTCACTCTGTACATAGATAAAAAATACTGGCTTAAAGACCATACTCGGAGATTAGTGATTAATTCATACTCTGAATGGTCTAAGGTTGTTAGTCGGGTACCCCAGGGTTCGGTTTTGGGAATACATTTTAACCTAATGAACATATCGAGTTTGGGATTAAAAGTACCATTTCTGTGTTTGCAGATGACACAAAGCTATTTAGTGACAAAGTCTCAAACTTGCAAGCAGACCTGAATGCAATGTTTAATTGCGCATCAATGTGGCAAATGAGGTTTAATGTTTATAAATGTAAAGTTATGCACTTGGGGGCTAAAAACATGCATGCCTCATCCATTCTAAGGGAAGAAAAACTGATGTCACGTAGGACCTGGATTTTCTGGTAGACCAGGGGCGCCCACAATTTTTCGTCTGGAGATCTACTTTTCAAATGAGATCTACCAACGAAAAAACATCTGCAATGCGATCGCCCGCACCTGGAATGCAGGCACTTCATTCTAGTCCAGTGCGATCTGCAAAAATGCTGCAAGCACTATGTTGGGTATCGCCGCGCACGCCGGAGTGGGAGCAATAATTCTAGGGCCAGTATTTTTGGGTATCTCTAAACTGATGTGTGGGGGCTTTTAAAGCGTTGTCTATGGACTTGTTGGGGTACTGAATTTTGTCGCCGTTTCATGGACGCACAATTTTTTACCTGGGCAGGTGGGGTATCTATTTACTCGTTGTAACCTCATCTTTTATATTTTATTTAAAAAATTGGTGTTGTATTTTCTTTTGGGGCATTTAAGTGCATTTTTCACTAAATTTTGGGATTTGATAAGGAGTTGTGCTAATATCGTGCAACATAAACATTTGTAATTTGTAGGCCTAAAATGTGGAATATAACATGGGTGCAAAAAATGAAAAAGAGGCGTCAGTCATGAATGGGTTAAAGAAATGGTAAAGGTCTGCTTTAAAGAATGATGGTCATTTTTCTTTGTCCAATTCCTTCACACCTTACTGAAATCGCCTTACACACTTTAGATGTTGCTAGTGTCTACAGTCAGGTCACTTCATCCATCCAAAATACTGATTGTTGTGGTTGATGATCTGCATGAACGATTAGCTGCATCTCCTACCATCTCTCGAAGGATTTATTAAACTGTATCCCAGGCTTGCCATCTAATGTGCCACCTTTCCTTTTATTCATTCAGTCTACTGGGTTGATCAGCACTTCTTGGGCTTTCCATCATCCGGCCTTAATCTGGCAATACACTAGTAGATTTTCATACAAACAGGCACACAGAAAATCACTCAGAACATTCAATAATGTAATTAGACTTGTGGAATTTTGTTCGATATTTCGTTTGATTTTGACATTCAGTTTTGGAATTTTCCATTTCTTTCATCGCTATGCTACTACACTAAACAATCATCATCATACTGGTCAGGGGCGTAACTAGAAATCACAGGCACCGGCACCGGCTGTGAGGGGGAACGTTCTCCCTCACAGCTGCTACTGAGCTATGTCAGTGACCGGCAGCACTCGAGACGCCATAGCGACCCAGGCGGCCCACACAGCATCAGAGTGATGCCGTGGCCGGGCCCCATAGCGGCCGCCTGGGTCGCTATGGCGATTGTTACGCCACTGATACTGGTGTATGGCCAGCTTTAGTTTTATAAGTCTTTACGGCCACCTGTTCCTCTGTTTATACCTTCACTAAGTCTTACAAGGTAGATATAGATGCATTGGCAAATGCTAGCTTTGGCCACAAAGCAAGCAGCAAATTATGGGTTAGCGCTTACCGTTTTTTTTATTTTATTGTTGGTATATTGCCTGCCCCTCTTGTTGGGTACTGCTTGTTGAAATTCTACTGGTTCTGATTGAAGATCCATCAAATCTGTGGCTCTTAAAGAATGTAAGAGAAAATATAATTTTCTTGTACTCACTGTAAAATTCTTGTCTCGGAGTTCATTGAAAGGGTTGTTTTGGCATGTTCCAAGTGATGGTATTATGTTTTGACAAAGGTTAGTTATGTAGATTTCCTTATACTGCTTGCTACTTACTGACATTTTTTGACAGTTGGGGAGGGGTTAAGCCTTGCTAGTGATCTGTCCTCTTAGCTGACAGCTTTTTGTACCAACTCCTGAATATGGGCAGCAAAATTCCACAGGTTCTGATTGATCTTCAGTTAAGTCTGTGTCTCTCTATGAACTCAAAGAAAAGTGTGTTATAGTGAATAAACATTTTTTTTTCCTTTTTAATTAATTTTGCAAATAAATTCAAGCTGTCTCTTTGTTACCCAGTTTGACCAAATTCTGGTGTTTGATTGAAATAAGTTTATGTACTATTTATATAATAGATTTTTCAGAATTGTAAGCCATTCAAATTTTTCACATGGATTTGCAATTAGAAAAATATGTATCACCTGTGTGGAAGATCATGACCTTTTTAAAGCTGGCCATACACCTTACAATTATCTGCAGATTTTCTGGGGTCAGATGGAAAAGGTGCAACAGTTTCCTACATCTACACTTAACTGTGTGGATGGAGGAATCTCCACCTGGGCCAATCTGTTGCACTTTTTCCATCTGCCCACAGAAAATCTGCAGATAATTGTAAGGTGTATGGGCACCTTTAGTCATGTTTTTTTTTTACTACCCGTTTCAACTAAAGGACCCCTTCAGTTGTGCTTAGTATGATACCATGTGTATATTAAGTTCAAAATAGAATGAGGGCACCCCTCCAATGTTTGCTTCCAGTGTTCCATATTTTCCGAGTATCAGACATTTTGGCCAGCTTATCAAGTCATATATTAATGGACATCTGTAAACTTAACCAGAATAAATTATGTGTTTGGATTTTAGATTCACCAAAACTATGTAATATAAGGACCTACCTAAACTATTCAACCAATTTGTAGCCAATCATTCGGGGCCCTTGCACTACATAATTGTTGATATATCCAAGGGAGAATGTACAATCAGATTGTATGGTGAGCTCAATTTAAAAGTATAATCATAATAGAAATAGTAGGGATGATTTTGCCTCTCTGTACAAGTTGTTGTTGTTTATTATATCAAAATAACTGTGGTATGTAATCATTTTGTTATTACACATTTAAGAAATGTAAATGTTTTAATTGTCATATTTTTCATGATATACAATTATGATAACAATACTGATAACTGTACAATATACATGTAAGTATCTCCTCTTGACTCAAAGCATGTTTGCCATATTTGTTGTAGCGTGTGCGAAATGAAGGACTTAGTAGTGGTACCCTCTCTAAATCATCATCATCTGGCATGCAAAGCTGTGGAGAAGAAGAAAGTGAAGAAGGGCCTGATGCTGTCCCACTGCCACCACCTATGGCTATTCAGCAGCACAGCCTCCTCCAATCTGATTCGCAAGACGACAAGGTACTTAAAAAAATAAAACTATATATATATTATAGTGCCCCGAATGAGCCGCTGGAATATACGGGTACATCTGTCTCGCCTCTGTGATAGAACCTTGTGAGGTTTTGTAAAAGTTTTACTAAACAGTAATATACTATCCAAGAAATGAATGAACAGGTACAACAATAAACAGCAAGTAATGGAAGCACTTTAAATATGCAGATAAATCTTAACTGTTGCTGCCTATCTGCATATGCAAACAGCACTGAACTGACTAATGTAATTCTATCAGCAAACTATGAAGGCAAAGTCTCAGTCCAAACATACCCGGGTCTTAAACCTACTGACCAATGGTATTTAACTAGGCTAGCCATCGGTGGGGCCCAAGTCCTGCTTGTACACATGGTTTAGACACAATATCACTGTTGCCAATGCCCTCTCACCACTCCTGTAGCTTAGATTGTAGTCCCCAGCATTGGTAGGTGAAAATAGGTGGTTTCTCCTCTACAGCCAACAACTTTCAGGTTCCAGCAGCAGCTTGTGCCACACAGTAGCAGTAGCGATGCTTGTAGCAGGTCTTTGTAGAATCCAGTCACTCAGGAAAGGGCTGGCAGGGTCTCTTTCTGATAGAGCAGTCACTGGATCCCCTCATGGAGCGTTTCCCACACTGTAGAAGAATCTTTCAGCAGGATCCCTCAGTAGGAGAGCAGGCAGTCACAGACACTGGAATCATAGATACTGTTCAGACCAGTTGGTCCAGTTGTGATGCTCAAGTGCCTACTGTAGGCAATTTTGGCGTTGGCCATAGGTCAGCATGTGCACCCTGAGTGGTGTGCTACGCAGCCCCATATGCAACAAACTATAATGCACTGTGTTCAGACACCCATGTATCAAAACAAGCATTAACTTTTTCTGCATTTTGAGCTACAGTAACTCTTCTATTGTATCAGACTGCAAGGGCCAGCCTTCGATCCTTACATGCATCAATGAGCCTTGGCTGCCCATGACCCTTTCACCGGTTTTCCTTCTTTGGACCACTTTTGGTAGGTGTTAACCACTGCAGACTGGGAAAATCCCTCAAGAGCTGCATTTTTGGAGTTCTGACCCAGCCGTCTAGCCATCACAATTTTGCTCTTGTCAAAGTCGTTCAAATCCTTACACTTGCCATTTTTTTCTACTTCTAACACATCAACTTCAGGAAAAAAGGTTCACTTGCTGTCTGATATATCTCACCCACTTCCAGGTGCCATTATAACAAGATAATCAGTGTTATTTATTTATATACACACATACCTTTCTCAAAATTATTTTACTTTCAATATTTATACAATCGTTATATCACTTTTTCTTTTAAAAAAATCAATAACTGTATTGAAAAAAATATAACGGTGACTTCACAGTCTAACAAAAACATCATCCTTCTAACAATCCAATAGAAGTTTAGAAATCTATTATAGATGATACACTGTTGGAGGCAGTCAGTGCATAGGGATGGATCCTCCTAGCTCTGTATAGCATAGGAGAGGGTGTCTTTACTGCTCCATTACCCTAAACCAAATCTGTCTCACTCCCAAGTCTGGCACATCTTTCTCTTTGACTTTCTCTTGGCTTACAGCATGGAACGGCCATTATTACTTCCTGCTCTGCAGCGGGAATGAGAGTGGCTCATGGTCAATTCTACAATTTTGATATTATCTTAGCAGTGCATCTTGGGAAGGTTACATCAGCAGAGCATTGCTGGGAAATTACATCTGCAATCTCAGGAGATCTCAGGGAAAGGCATTTTCCTCTCCTGAGATGATGTGCATGGTCACATGTCCTAGTCACAAGTCTAGTCACGTGCCATAGTTTAAGGAATTAAATGGAGAGCTAGTAATCTGCCTTTAGTTAACATGGCCAATGTCAGAAGACTGGGAAAGAAAAGAGAAATAACATATGCAAAGAATACAAAGTCTGCAACTATCTATAAGTATGTGTTTGTAGATTGCCATTACTTAACATTTCTAAAGGTGTGTTTGTTGTTATTTTAAAGAGATGGGTAAAGGTCCACTTTAAGAGAGCCTGTAACCTGCACTGTATACGTACCCAGGCAAATGAAAACAAACACGTGTCGAATACACTCATGTACAAACATATTAGGTATTGCAGCACACATAGGAGTGAGGTCAATAATTTTAGCGCTATCATTCATTGCTAATTCTAAACTGATGAGCTGTAAAGGCTTTTAAAAGCATTGCATTTTGGGTACCCTAGTGTTAAGCAATTTCACGGGGGCATCCAGTTGAAAAGTATGACATATCTGGTATCGTTTTACTCAATACAGACTCATCTTTTATATTTTACCAAAAATTGTGTTTATGTGCACTAAAATTAGAGTGCACTGCTACTGACAATTTGGGTTCGATAAACAGTTGTGCTAATATCGTGTGACCTATTTGCACCTCCTTTTAAAAATTAATAATGTTGGGGTATTTTAGGTAACCTTCAGACCTAAAAGGTGCTTTTTCACATGGCAAAAATGGTTGTGGCAATGAAAAAGTTAAACAAGATTTGCCCATGTGAACATTTTATCAAACAAGATTCACCCAACATCTGTTCTTTCTTAACCAAGTATTTATTGGGTTTTTAAAAAATTAAACAATAAGCATTTCACATAGTATTCGCCGGCCACAATAGGCCACATAGGCAATATAATGAAATCCATAAAATGTCAACGCAAATACGATGTATAAATATCAATGCGATATAAAGTAAAAGGGGGGGAAAGGGAATCAGGGAAGGAGTCCATCAGTCGGTCTTCCTCGTGATCAGGTTTAGGTTTGGTCCACAGGTCTCGTCCAGATGTTCCCACAGGTAGTTCCCCCTCAACTCATTTAACCACATCACAGGCGATTAAGGGTATTGATATCTAGATCGGGGTGGTTATGCTTTAGCCAAGGTTCCAAGATATTGAGAAATTTAGTATGTGAATCATTGAGGATACTCGGCAACCGTTCATTTAGGAAAATATTATCTAGTCTATGCATAAACTCCCGATATTGGATAAATTGTTTCTTCCAGTGTCCCGCTAGGGTTAATTTGGCAGCGATAAAAATTTGGTGTGTCAGTGCACGCTGGGATTTAGTCAATCCGGGCACTGAAGCATGAAGCAGCTCCTGTGTCGGGTTTTTAGTGATGTTCCTATCAAATAGGGTCGAGAGTAGACGGAATATTCTGGTCCAGAACCGGGTTGCAAAGGGGCACGACCACCAAGTATGTAGCATGTCCCCTGGGATCGAACATCCTCGGAAGCAATTGATAGATGTTGACGGAAACATTCTACCTAACCGAGTGGGGACTAGGTACCAACGAAACATTACTTTATAGGCAACCTCAGAATTTGTCACATTATTGGAGCATTTAGAAATGTTTTCCCACACTGCCTTCCACACCCCATCGGACCAGTTTAGACCTAGGTCTGTGGACCACTGGCTAGGATAGGAGTGAAAGCCGGTACAAGGCAAAGAATTCAGATTAGTTTATAGGATTGACACCTGTTTGGGTCCTCCAGGAGCATAGAGGAAGATATGCTTGAAGGTGGTAAGTGGGTTATTTAAGTGTCTGCGCGTTTGCATAGTGGATACCCAGTGTTGGAGCTGAATAAACCTAAACAGTTCTGCGTCAGGGGATCTGCTTGTGTGTTTTAAGGTATGCCCAGGTGGGTAGGTTAGAGGACTGATAAAAATCTTACAGTCTCGTGAAGCCATTATCGGTGCACCACTTAAACAGTGTCGGGTTGGTAAATGCTGGGATAAATAATGGTTGGGAAGATATGGGCAGAAGGGGTAGAGACGGCGATATCAGGCATGAAGAATATTTCAATGAGTCCCACACTTTCAGGGTATGGTTCATAAGAGGACTGAGAGAGCGGGGTCTATCCACTGCCGGCAACCATGGGAGTGCATGTAGAGGAATTGGGGAGCAGTTGAGGATTTCTAACATGGTCCAAAGTGGGACATTAGTTATTCGGTGGATAGTAATGAGGGGGAGCAATTGGGATGCTTGGTAATATAGAAGGATGTTCGGTAGGCCTATGCCCCCTTCTCGTTTATGTTTATATAGGGTGGACCTTGGGACCCTTGGGCGTAGTGGATGCCATATGAAGGTTAAGATGTTCCTTTGGAAGATTCGTATGATAAAGGATGGGACTGCTATCGGCAACACTCTAAAATAGTACAGCAGCTTAGGAAGTATGGTCATCTTGACCGCAGCAACCCTCCCAAACCAAGATAGTTTATGGTGTACCCAGGTGTCCATCAGAGTTTTAGGATGTCTAATTAAGGGTAGGTAGTTATTTGCATATAGTGTGGCATATGAGGGGGAAATATTAACTCCCGGATATCGCAGATACTTCTCTTCCCAAGTGAACGCAAGGTTCTCCCGAAGACTGTTATAAACCTGCTGTGACAAGGATACATTCATGGCTGCCGACTTTTTCCAGTTAACCACCAGGCCAGAGATATCAGAGAAGAGGTCCAAGATTTGTAATAAGTTGGGAACTGAAGTATGAGGTTGGGTGATGGTCAGGATGACATCATCTGCAAACAAGCTAGTTTTATATTCCACCCCTGCCACCTCTATTCCCTTCACATTAGGGTTCAATCGAATCATATAGGCTAAAGGCTCTATGGCTAGGGCAAACAGAATTGGTGACAGAGGACATCCCTGTCGTGTACCTTTACTAATCGGGAAGGTCTCAGAGACATGACCCGAATATTTAACTTGGGCGGTGGGGTTTTTGTACAAGACACAGATCCAGGAAAGAAACGGTCCCTCAAGTCTCCATTTGCGTAATACAGTATATACCAAAGATAATCTAATGAGACAGAGTCAAACGCCTTCTGGATATCAAGGGACAGCAATGAATCCAACTTGATCCATATGGATCAATGTAGGTAGGAATGCATTAACCCTCATAGCCAAGATTTTCGTTAATATTTTAAGATCCACATTTAGAAGGGATATAGGCCTATAGTTCTCAG